GGGGGGGGGGGGGGGGGGGGAAAGAAAATTAACCCTTTATGGGAAGTCGGGACAGTACCCCTAGCAGGTACATCCTTCCACAAGTTTCAAAGGCAACATGCTTCTTAAGAAATTAAACACCAACACAATGCAAACTGGCAGTGTTCATTTTTCACTAACTTCTTTCATTTTGTTTTCCACTGAATGGTGTAGGTAACAATGTAATTTATGGCCTCTAGACTCCAAAAATGTATGTTAACTTCAATAAATCTATTTAAAATTATTATACCCTAACAAGGCAAAACCAAAATACCTTTGGTTGTGCGAAGTACCTTTTTCTCAGGTAACTGATAATGGTCAACATGTCTGTTTCAAAGGTTCTTCTGTAGCTAAGTAGCCAAAGTTTCCTTTACGATGCAAACTATATCTAAGTATTTTATTTTATACATTTAAATAGCCAGCTGGTACTATGGCACAAAAAGATTAAGATCCCCTGATAAAGTTTTCCATTCAATAGCAAAAGCAGTTCATAATTAAGGTAAAGGTAAGAAAAATTAAGGTAGTTTCTATACACAATATCCATTTCCAATTACAGATCAGACATTACTGAAGACAAAATGCTTTCATTTTAAAAAATGAACATGCCATACACATAAAAAGCTGTATTATAGGCTGTTTTCCTTTTTTCCCTCTATCATTTCTAAGTGCAGCTAGTATTTGGAGAGCAGAATGAAGTCCACCAGCAGTTCATAAAGTTTTAATTCAGTTTTATCAAGCAGTGAAGGGTATAACCATGCCTTCCTTCAAAGTAAGTTCCAGACTTTAATGGAACAAGCAATGTTGCCATTCTTGTACACCTCATCCAAAGGAACTCACTCTTCTTTCATTCACTGATACTTTCTTCTCTAGTGTAGCACAAATTGCACAACCAGCAATATAGAAAACTGCTATCAAATATAACCTAGATTTGGGTGCACACAAAATATTATAAGGTTATCTTACAACACTTAAAACTAGAATATACCATAGCATGCAAAATTCTAGAGTCAAGGAATAGTAAGCCATACATAAACTCAGCAGCTTTTTAATGCAGTTTTGACAGTTTCTCCATTTCAGCTGGAATATCATTGTCTTCTCCAAATAATCTATTAATATTGCACCTAATTCCTATTTCTAGGGTCCTCTAGATCTTTGTAAATCTTCCTAAGATTTTATTTAAATGGGTTCCTTTTATTCAAGCCAATATATGATTGCATGCATGTATGTATGTATAATGCCTTTTGGGGAAGGGAAATTCAGATGCAAAAAGAGAAAGCTATGGGTACCTGAAAGTAACAAACTCTGGAGGACAACAAAAACAAGTTTATTTTATTAGCGTCAGATTTCAACTTTCAGATGCATTGCCTTCTCTACTGTGGAGCTCAGTGGCAGCATGTATACAATTTCTAATGTAAGATTTCACTACAGAGTATCATAGCTAAGCCCTGCTATTTAACTATAAGGAAACAAGCCAATTTTGCTGTTGCACTCTCCCAAAAGTCACCTTCAAGATTTTTTTTGTACTGAAAAAGTAAATTTTGTGGGCACAACAGATGAAAGCAGATCATTCATGGACATTTCAACAAATCAAATGATATTTTTAATACAGAAATGCTGCCCCATAGCTTTTCTTCATGTAAAAAAAATCCTTTATACCATTTTTCAATAGTAAAGTATACAAAGCTTAAGATAAAATCATAAATAGTGGAAGCTGCACATAGAATTAATTTTCAGCCCCAAAAGAAGGGGGGTGTCAAGTGGCTTTTATTTATATTGAAAGGGTCACGTGAGTATTCACCTTTACATTCAAACAACTATAAAGCACTAATTTTTATACCTGGCACCTCTATTTTTTACAGACAAACAGAAAATAACAGCATTTTTGGAACATAACAGTGGCTAAGAAAATCTAGCAGGTATCCAAAATAGTCTCCCGGAAACACCATCAAGGACAAGTGACCAAAGGTCTTATAATGATAGATTTACCTTGAGACATTCAGTAGTAAAGAAAGGATTATGAATACTGATAAAAGTTGTGGAGGGATGTATAAAAACACTATTAACTAGTTGTAATAGTTAAATGACAACTTACATTTTAGATTGTATTAGAAAAGTAGTGAATTGTCTTTCAGAGCAAACATTACTTTACCACATTTATATATTAGAAATGAAAAAGGCCATATTATTTAATAGGCTAAATTTTGCTGGGTCTTCAATTAAAACTGGACATTATGGTTTCTAAAATGTTTTATTGCTACAAACAAGTACATTTTATCACAAAAAAACTACAAGATCTGTCATAACATGTACTTTACAATGAGTGATGCAGTCCAGAAGACAGCCACACTCACAACATAATTCTAAGTTTATGATTCTAGAACTATTTACGTTGCATTTAGTTAAAAAGCTTTGTGTTGAAATGATTTTAACTTTCTACTTACTTTGTTTGTATCCAAATCTTAACATCAAAAAAGGAAAAACCAATGTTTACAAGGTACACAATATAATAAGTTCTAACAGCAAGGTCACTATAAAAGTTCAACTAAAAATGGGTTTACTTCCATTTTTAAGCAAAAGTGAAACTAGATTACAGAAGGACATCTTCAAATGGAATACATGCACAGGGTAGAGGATAACAAGAGTCTTGTTTTAACTATTAAGAAATTTTACATTTAACTGTAGGAACCGAAAAGTAAAAGTAGCACTTTCCTCTGCTTGTGCAAAATGGTTTGCATTTAATTATCTTCTGTTTGGTCAAGAGTAAAGTCAGTCTGTTCTTCCCCTTCTGCTGCTTCTTCCTCCTCTTCTTCCCCTTCTGCCTCCTCTTCCTCCTCCTCTTCTGCAGGTTCATTTGCCTTGTCTTCTTCTTCTCCTTGCTGTTCTGCATTTTGATCAGTGACTTCAAATGGATTTTCACCCTAATAATCAATAATTAAAATTAATCTGAAACAAATTCCATTAGCTGAAAAGTGCAATGACAGGAGTAAAAAAAAAAAAATTAAATCTAAAATTGGACTCCCAATTTCCAATTCATGGTGAAAACAGATGGTTGCCCATTTCACCATGTTGATTAACAACATTTAAAATCAAAATGCAAATAACATAAAACCACAATTACATTTTACACTTTCTATCCTATATCTTCTCAATTTCACTCTACTAAATTTGGAGTACTTTATAATCAAGAACATATAGTAAACACAATTCATGTACAGATCATTTATTTGAAATATGTCTGTGTTCAGTTTTGCTTGTAATTAGTTCATATCCACCACACAGATTTTTAACCAATATATATCCCCAGCTACTTCTTTCCCATGGCTTTTTCAGTACAGAATAATTAGGAGAAACTACAATACAACTCAGTGCAGAACTCAAAAATTCCACTGCCATCATTACTGAAATTAAGTGCACTACTTGCAGAAAGGTAAGTAGTGGTACTTACCTTTCTGCAAGCAGGTAGGGCAGGAAGCAGACAACTGTGTTTCCTTATCTAGTCCTTCTGGACAGTTCAACTAGATGGACATAAAATCCAGACATTGTAATAGTCTGGCTTTACAGCAGTGACCAACAATTCCGAAGGATAAATCTGATAATCCCTTAATGTCATCCCTTGATGTCATTCCCTTTTACTTCCTAAATCAAACATCATAAGGCATGTTGGGATGAAAGTATTATGTTGACCTTTATTCACATGATAAACTTAAATTCTAGAATAACCCAGTTTGAAAGTAGCAGGTAAGAGTTTTCTATAGGAAGCCACTATTTTTTAAATGTGTATTTATTTAAATAGTTTATACAGCCACCCATCTTGCAACAGTGACTCTGGGCAGCATATAACAATTAAAACCAAAACTAGGCAATAAGCCTACTGCCAATCAAGTTCTTAAACCATCTGAGTTATTTCAAGAGGATTTACTGGGGAAGGGGAAAGGAAGGACAGCAAAAACAATTACTCTTCAATGCTGTAAAGACAGCAGAATCCCATCTTGGATCATTCAGATGTGCTCATATTTTGTTTATGAGCTAGCTCTCTACTGGTGAAATGAAAAGAACGATCAGCATTTTTTCATGTGTCAAGATTTAATGATGTTGCCTATAATGTGTTTTTTTCTGGGCTTTTTTTCTGTTTGCCTTAGACTTTTCCCCCCTTTTTTCATGCATCAAAATGATAATAAAATAAATTTTTAAAAAATACATGTGGAGCAGCAACTGACATGTGTTATCTTAAACCTTGCAGAATTATGCAACATACTTATCCCTAAACTAAAAAGACAGGTACAATGCTTGCTTCAGAAATATTTTAATATAAAAATATATGCAACTTAATGTACAGGCATATTCATTGGATTAATCTATTAACATTCATTTAATTTTCCAGCCCTAGTTTCTATTGATGTATGAGCTGGGCTTTATAGCAACAACAAAAGTACAGTTTTGGATTTGTTAAATTAAAAGAAATTAATTTCATATAAATTTTAATCACTGCTGCTGCTGGAAAAATTAATCCATATTGCAAACTTACCTTGACATAGCGTTCATACCGTGCCTTCACTATAGGGTTATTCAAGATACTGGTAGCAGTTAGAACACTCTCTCTTTTAATTTGTTCTTTGTAAGTCTGTAAATATTCCAGAGCAACGTTCAATAAATATTACAACAAGAGCTGAATTAGCCAGATATGCAAAGTTGTCACTGAAGGAAAAATAATCTTAAAAAAGTTGAATTCTTACTAATTCTTACAGATCTAAACGTCTGTCATTACCATTTATACTGAAACTGATCGAGCAGGGGCCACAACCCATTACCAAATTAATTATATGGAATCTCCACTGAATATTCATGGTTTTGCATGTGGGAAAGGCCTTTTACAGAATTGAACAACCTGAGAGTCCAGGGCTGCATACAGCCCTAAACTTCTTAAATGTTAAGCAATTGCAGTGTTTAAATTAATTTTAAAAAAATTCTTAAACACATGAGGAGAGAGTTTCATTAACTGATTTTCACATATTTTTAGAATGTGTATTCTGAGACGCTACTCAGAGGTCATAAGCAGCCTTTGGCCCCAAGATCTTGCACTGCTGGCCTACTCCAATCTGACCCAAACTTGTTTTTACTTTAAAGGTATGTTCTGACAGGCTCTGAGACATCTTGATGATAAAATTATCCATAACAACTTACAGCAATGTCACTAACAGTGGTGTCTGATATTAAGTGCATTGGACAAATGTTGGTTGTTGATATGTGTCCTGTGGATGACCCACAATTTTTAATTAACACCTGGAAGAGAGGCTGCTTAGACAAGCTAGCTCTTCCTATTTATTCTTGCAAGTTGTAAGATAACAAACTTTCTGCTCTAACTCCAATTAGATAATGATTTCCCTCTTTTGTTGTAGCAGGTGCCCAGCAGCTGCTAGATGCTTAATCCTCATTAATATGTAACCTTCCTTTGCTAATGCCTAAACTAAGGCATCTGGGGGTGGAGGGGGAAAGAAAGGTTGCGGGGCTATAAAAGTGGCCCAGTGAAAGCAACCGCTTTGTGAGTAGAATTTTGGAGAGTGTCCCTGCCACTTGGGCTCACCATGACAGTCGGGGAAGGACTCCTGGAGCTGTAAGGAATTAATGGGGACAATTTAAATATGATGCTGTTTGTTTCAGTCCTGGCACCTCCTTTAATGTCCTCCTGCTTTGGTATGTGTCCAGCAAATTCTAAATTAGCCAGCAACACAAGAATTTCAGAAAACAATATGACCATGGTTCTTGATCTTATCTGGCCACACCTTTCCTGGGATTGTGCGCCAACTGTGGAGAGCAGCACTCACCACCTCTTTTTAAAATCTAATACTGCTTTGCTTCTCAGAGAGGATTTAAAGCTCCATGCAATCCCAGGAAAAGGTGCAGCTCCTTCAAGGAGTTTTAGACAAATGGCACGTTTGTAGCTCTGTGTGCTCTCAAATACCTTTTTGGAATTAAATGTAAAATGCTGCACAGCCTTAGAAACCAATTTAAGAAGAAAAAAGTGGATACTTCTCTTAAAACTGTGTTTTTTTACTTGTCACATAAACCTTCTGTTTTAACCACATCCCTTTCCACCCTATCTTGTCCATATGCAGCTATTTTTTTAGACCATAGGTGCACACAAACTTGAGCATGTGAGACAAGCAGAAGGTGGTCCCACACATAACCCAGTCCTATGCCATGCAGGATTTTATAGGTGATAACCAACATCTTGAAATGCACCTGGAACCTAGAGAGACTCAGCAGAGTTTGCAGAGTAGAGGTATTACATGGACATAATGAAAAATACTCTTAACTACACATGCCAATGCATTTTGAACTAACTGAAGCTTCCAGATGGTTTTCAAGGGCAGTTCTATGTATAAGTCCTGCAATAATCCAATCAGGAGATGACTAAGATGTGAATGACCATAAGCAAGCCTCCCCGATCCAGGAACAGGTGCAACTGGCACACAAAGTGAAGTTCTACAAAACCACATTTACTGCTTGCTCTTCAAGCAGGAACTGTGAGTCCAGGAAGACCCTCAAATTGTGCACTAAATCCAAGCAGGGTAGTGCAACCCCACCCAGAGTCAAAGATGAAATCTCTCCAATTCCAGGACCATGGAGTCCAAAACCCACAGCCATTTGGTCTTGATAGGGTTGAGCCAAAGCCTGTTCTTCCCCATCTAGATCCCCATAGCTTACACATATCAGGACCGAACCCTGACATTTTCACTTGGGTGGCCAGATGCAGAGATATACAGCTAATTATGATCAGCATACTGATACTGTATCCTGTGCCAACAGATAACCTCCTCTAGCACTTCGCGTAAAGTTAAAAAGGAGACGAGGGTCCTGAGGCACCCTGCAAAGCAGGCGTCTAGGATTAGACCACTCCACAACCATCAGCGACTGGAACTGGCCCTGGAGGAAAGAGAACCACAAAACAGCGGCCCCCACTCACAACCCCTTATGCCAGTCCAGAAGGATACCATGGTTGATGTATCAAAGACTGATGAGAGGTCAAGGAGGGACAGGATGGGTGCACTACCCCCATCCTGTGCCCACCACAGGTCATCATAAGTAGAACCAAAGCTGTTCATACTATACCCTAGTATGAAATTTGACTGGAAAAGGTCCACTTAATCCACTTCCTCCAGGACCCTTTGGAGCTGCAGACCAACCACTTTCTCAACAATCGTACCCAAAAAAGGAAGGTTGGACGCTGTACAAAAATTATCCGGACCTGTGGGATCCAACAATGGTTTCTTGAGAAGGGCAAACCACTGCCTTCTTCAGAGGCAGCAGGACTATCCCCTGAACAGGGCCACTGGCCAACACTTGGAAGACACAATAAGAGTGAGAAATAGAACACATTTTGTCACTCTTATTGTCACAAGGTAGACCCTTAGGCTCTTGTCTGTGTATAGTCAGATTCACTCCTGGTTTTCCCCCAGTGATGCTCTGGGCAGCAGCATTTCTTCTGTTGCTTCATCCTCTGGGGGTTTCTATAAATCAGGGTGCACACCGAAGTCTGCACACAGTGAGAATCTGTATAGGCATGATCTGATCTAAAACTGTCACTGCTGCTGCGCTCCAAGTGGTAACCAAGGCATTGACTGAACTGTGTATCAAAGCCTCAAGGACAACCCCAAGCTCCCTATGAAACCTAACTGGATTCATCAGGCACCTGGGACAAACCACTTGAATAGGTCCAGCCTCCTGGGAGGAGGGTGTGGTATCTGCAGTAAACTCTAGAGTTAGGTCCACAGTGCCCATGAAATCCCAGGCTGCTTTTGACTCTGTGTTCAAGGAAGGCAGTTTTAAGTCTCCCAAGACCATAACCTGGGGAACTTCACTACCAACCTAGGTATGGTACTGAGCAGTCCAGGCAGGTAGGCTAATACAGTAGCAGCAGTCTCAACTGTTCCCTAATGCCCAACCTCTCAAGTAGGGTTTCAAACTCAGTTATCTGCAGGGCAGCACCCCTGGCAACCCACAGAATCTCAAAAACAAATACAGGAACCCCCCTTGCCCTGGCCTTGGGGTTGCAGCTCGTGCCAAACCTAAAACCAATCCGGGTACATTTTGGAGAAGGGGAACACACACACACACTTGGTCCCCAGCCAGGTCTCAGTAATATACATCAAACCAGTCTTCTCATCCAGGATTTAATCCCAGATGAGGTGAGTTTTATTAGAGATGATCTGACATTGAAGAGCATCAGTTGGAGTCCAGAGCGAACTAAGGCTTGATAACCAGGAAGTGGGAATGAAGGGGCCAGAACACAGCCCTCCCCTGACTCCCATTATATCTCCCACTGCCCATTACCAACCCAATATTCCTACCTGCCCCGAATGCCCACTGTTACTTTCCTTATCTCTGACCCTTCTCCATCATGGTCAAGGGTGCCATTGATGCTAACAGCTTACATACTCTCCCAAGCTGATTGACTGGCACCAGGATGCTGGTGACAGGGACTCAGCATCCTTAGCACAAATCATACCGCCCTTCCCACTTCCCAAAACCATCCACACCACCCCAAACTCTCTGCTCTCTCTCAGGAGATGGATATACGTCACTTTTAGGAGTGGGAAGCAGAATGGTCACAAAAACCTTGCACTCTGATTCTTATCCTAAAAAAAGTCCCCTAAAGCCCAAAATTACTGAATATTGGCCACTCTGCCACCAGAAGCACAGATGACTTCAGTGATCCAGAATGTCTCTTATTAGTTCATACCAGTTTTTACTCCATTTGGCCAGAGATAACCTTACACCTTATTTATGCTCTGGTTGTTTTTGTGATATCCTATTTGCAAGTGTTGTGTATAGAGAATACCTTCTCCTCTAAATCTGCCTCTGTGGACCATAAGGTCATCAAGGCTCCCATCCAAATGCTTCAGAGTAGTGGGGCAAGATAGATGGCTTCAAGTCAGAGGATTTTTCACATGTGTACCCTGTCTTGAATGACCTTCCTCAAAAGGTTAACATGTGAAGGTACTGTGATATGCGATTCACTTCACATAGGTTCTTTGCATAATTTCTGAGGCCACTCTGGAATGTCTTAACCAAGTGCAGAAGTTCTTTCTGCCACTGGATGACCCAGAGGCTTCTGAAAAACTTCACTTTTCAGAAACAAGAAGTTGTGTTGCTTCAGAAAGCACCTTCAAAACAAAGCTTTGTCCAGCACTATGTACTATTTTTGAGTACCAGATGAAGATCTTTCTATATGCTTAGTCTTTTTAAGAACAATTTTTAGTGATTTCATATCTATGAAGAGTTTTATTTTGCTTCCAGTTTTAGCCTCATTTTTATATGCAGTAAGTTATTTATTCTTGCTGTTATCATTTTTATTGGCTTGCATTATTTTTTATTAGTTTGTATTTTTTATTAGTTTGTAACTGACATCTTCATTTAACTAAACTCTAAACAGATAAAGTTGTTTGTCTAGAGATCATACAAGTTTATTTTGGTACAACTATCTGCATTTAATATAGTAAAAATATGTACAGTGACTGCAGTGTTAGTCTATATAAACTCTTTGCTTCAGTTTAAATGACAGACAGCAGCAGCTCCAGTCTGAAATAAATTCACAAGCCCTCACTATTTTCATCAACAGCTGAATAGGATTTTAATTTCAGCATTAATTGTTATGATATACAAGTTCCATGCATATTCTATTTAACACATCAACATTGTAGGAAATAAAATTTGCTTTACATAGTATGGTAGTAGTTTTGTGTTTTAAAACATTTTCATGCTCTTCAAACTAATGTTTCCATGCTACCTAAAGACTGCCAGGCTTCAGCTTCTACAAGACGGTTTTTCAAACTGTGTTCCCCAGAATCCTAGAGTTCTGAGAACTTGATGTAATTCTGTAACAGACTAATGGCAAAAAAAAAAAAGTTGACTGAAACAGCAAATTTTCTCTCACTACATCTTTGTGTCTTGATCAGTGTTCTGGGAATTTTCTTTTGTTTTAACTAACAGGTTCTGCAGCCTGAATAGTATGAAAACCTAGAATACTTCTGAACACAAGGTAGCACACAAAATATTAATTTGGTAATCATCTAGCACTGTATTCCTACAGAAAATGGCAACAACATAATATTTTCGTTATTTTCCAGAAAAAAAGATTGTTTTACTAAAGGCAATTCAAAAATAGCAAGGTATTTTTTAATATCCCACAATCATGAAGCAACACCAATCTTTCTGCACTTAAAATTTAGGGATTTTTAAACAGATGTTCACATAAGGTTTTCAGTGCCACTTGAATTCAGTGGCACTTAGTTTGGGTATGTAAGATTGCTTAGTCATCTCATCTAAACAAAACTCCTTATTAATTCAGGGGAAAAATCTGTTTTTTCAAACCTGACATTATGTCAATCTGGACTGCAATTAGACTGCAATTTTTGGATCTTTAATTCTGGCTTTTAAACTACATGATTGAAAAATAAACATCTGACTAGTTACCACACAATATATACAGGTATGGTGCTTATTTGTTTGTTTTTTGCAATCTTTAGCCATTTTAAAAGAACCATAAAACCGTGATGTCTGAAATTTGAGATGCATAACTTAAAAGTCCAGAAAGTCCATAGAGCCACTCCAGACCTCTCTCTAAATTTGTCACTATTAGCAGCATTTACCACTTGCTCACATCAAGCCATTACAAACATGTCTCTCTCCAAAATTGAAACCATCCCTGCTGCCAGCTTTTCATATGACTGCCCTTGTTGAGTGCCCACTACCTATTCCAAATTGATCTTATTTTACTTTCTCCAGTAGTTTTCTTCCCTTTGACTGAACACCCTGTTCACTCTGCAAGGTGATATGTAGTTAGCATTCATGAGTTGGGATGACAAAGGGCTGTACGCATGTCTGAGAAAATACAGATGTATGCATCTGCTTTCATGCCATGTCTTCCTGACCCACTCATATATAGCTCCTCAATGCATCCCATAAAATCAATAAAGATTGCATTCCTTCTTTAAATGAACATGTGTAAGAAGATCTCTCCCTACTGAATAAATGATAAATGATTTTTGGCATAAATGCATTGTGCTGCTGCATCATCTCCATATCATACATTTTAAAGCTAATAAAAATATTAGTCAAAGTAAATCTCATAAAAGTGAAAAACTAAGAAGAGTGGGGGCAATTTTACTTATTTTGTTCCTTATTTATATGGAGGGAGAAGGCTCTTTTTACTGTTTCAGTAGTATTATGAAAACTCAGCAACCTTGATTGGAAAGAAAGACTATCTTTGTACTACTGTTACTTCTTACCAGTTCTCATATATTTGAAAGTACAGAGCGACATGAAATAAGATTAGGCAGGCAACCAAAGATGTAATCAAGGGGAGATTAGTATAGTAATCTATATCACTTATATTTTCTGATTACTTTGCACTGTGGAGTACAGTTATGAATTATGCTAACATGTTACATAGTCATCAAAGGTCTCAGGTCTCTGACAAAACTTCACAGAGAATTGACCAGTGCCCAGACTATGCATCTCTAGAGACACCTGCAACATTACTGAAATTCAGTTGAATAGATACGTTTTACCTGTTTTCCTTTTGCATGCTCAGGAGACTTTAAATGCTGCTGAACAGAACTGTGTAGTGCAGGAACATAGACGCTGCACGCAGAACAAAGAACAGTTTCGACTTTCATCATATGATCATCAGCTGTAACACCTAGGAAAGACATAATGGATATCTGAGATTAGGCCAAAAGAAAACAGTGAGGATTCTATATATAAAAAAGAAGCAAGATGGAATTTGCAAAATTAAAAAGGGGACAGATATATGGGAAACATTTCCAAGTATTCAATTACTACATAATGTATTTAAAAAAGAGGGGGGGAAAGGGAGAAATTACAAGTACTTTTGGTACTCCTTGCTTAACAATGGTAATTGGGACCAGAATTTCCATCACTAAGCAATGCAGTCGTAAAGCATGACATAATGTGACTGCATCACTTAGCGACGGCAATCCTGGCAGTCTCCGTTGCTATCAACAAGCGAGGATCACAGGCTGTTAAGTGAGGACCTCTTCGTGACTCCCTGCCAGATTCCAACAAGTAAAGTCAATGGGAAAGCCTGTAGGAAATTGCAAGTTCTGGGTGCCTCACAAGCAGGCCAGCAGGCAGGTAAGAAGCTGCTGTGGCGTGAGCGTGGCCAGGCCTGGCTGCTGCTGGATGCAGGAGGGTGTGCAGGTGGCTGCCATGCAAGCATGGATGGGTGGGGTGGTGGCTGCTACTGGGTGTGGGAGGGTGCACTGGTGGCCACCGCCGGGCCATGCAAGCGTGGCCGGGCTGCAGGTGGCTGCTGCCAGGTGCGGGAGGGCATGCAGATGGCTGCCGTAGCAGAGCAGGCACTACAGAGTGCAGGCAGGCACACTATGGAGTACGAGATCTCCGAGATCTCGAACTCCATAGCTGGGCTCCTTGGGAGTAAAAGGAGTGGAAGCGACTTACAGGAGCGTCTTGCAACCTTCCCTGCCGGCTTCCCTATTGTCTTTGCTTGTGGGAATCCGGCAGGGAAGGTCGCAAATGGCGATCACATGACTGTGGGGCACTGCAGCCATCCTACGTGTGAGCCAGTTGCCAAGCGCCCGGATCATGATCAAGCGACTGCGGGGGTGCTGACTGGTCATATGTACCACTTGTTCAGCACTGTTGTAACTTCGAATGGTCGCTGAACGAGTGGTTGTTAACCAAGGACTACCTGTAGTGAGGATGGGAACCTTACAGTGGGCTGTCAAATCGCTGGTAATAGAAGCAAGAAAACATTAAAAACAATTCAGCAATATACCCCATGCAATTAGAAAATGTATGAGTGATCTCCAAATATATCCTACATAGTCGCACTTAATTTTTCAATACTTCTCCCTCAGTATGAATTCCAAAAACTGCTAGTTTTATGTTTCAAAAACAGCTTCAGGATTCCAAGATTTTCCCTTCATGCTAATTTGACACGTAAGGACCAACTAGTCCCACATGCAGTTTTCCAAATAAATAAAACCCAAGGATCTAGAACCAAGTTGGAAGAAAAAACACCACTGTTTATTCTTGCTTCCTACTAAGTGGCCAAGATTTTACAATTTGACCTTGCAACATACTGAGCCTATGCAATAGAACAGCAGTGTTGAACTAGAACACATATTTTTACAGGCTACTTGCCTTCCATTACATCTTTTTCAGTAATCTGAGCAGCTTCCATTTGGCTTGTAGTCTGCTGTTTACGCATAGCAGTCTTCTTAAATTTATTCACCATACATTCCTAGAATACAAATTAATATAATTTTGGAGGAATCAAAAATTACTTTCACTTATCCCAAATTTACCTCCAACATTCTGAAATTCTAGATTCATCAGCCATAATTGAAACAATTATGGAATTAGGGACAGGAGAGCAGAATGTTTTTCTGTAAAAGTGAAGTCCTGATCTCTTTTCATCTCCCATCTTCACAAGTATTACATAAAATTGTACACTGATCAAATTAAAAAACCTCAAAAATTCCATAGCCAGGATAAGCCATGTCTACGAATCTTTGGCTCCCGACTTTGTGGTTATGTTTAGACCTGGCCAGTCCTATCAAATAGCCTTATGAGGAAGATAAAGGCAAAAATATGTGCCTAAATGGCCAACCAAGCATTGGATTTAGCACTGAGGTGAGGGATGGGAGGACACGAGAGAGAATTTATCGTTTGAGCTCCATTTCAGAAAATAAAATGTTTTAGTATGACAATGTTACAAGGTCAAACATTTTCAACATGCACACAATGAACCACATAGTTTAAAACCACACCCAAGTATTTCTTAAACAGATAATATTTATGCTTGGGTTTACACCAGACTTCACTGTTTCTGATTTTTTTTTTCCTCCTGAATATTAAGCTGTTAATTATAGCTCCCTGGATTTACGGAATTAAGATAGCTACTCACATGCAGAAACTCCATCACAACTTTGTCAAATTTGGTCTGCTTCTGAATGTGATCTAAAGTCTCCTGGTGAACAGCACTTTCAAGGTGAGCTTCAATGTCTTTCTCTTCAAATGTTCGAAATTTACAGAATGAGCAGGTGAATGCCATTCTAGCAGAAGATATAGGTACAGTGCATAATATTATTTTTCTTTTTGTTTTAACACTTTAAAAGCCATCTCATTAAGTTCTACATATCCAGAAAAAAATATAGATATAGCCCTGCCTACCCAAACTATGAGAAACAATTCTGTTCAGTTTGTTCTACGAGACCAGGACTTGAAGATCTTTACAAAGACCTTTATGAACCTCTGGTGCTTAGGAGCAGCTTCTTGCAAACATTTACTGATACTGTATGACGAACTACTATAAAATTCAAAATAATTAAAAATATAATATAGCAAGTCTACATTATTAATGCAAAAGATCAATTTAGCATTCCCCCATTTACTGTACTTTAACAGAAAAGGAAAAGCATTCACTTCAACTTTATTGTTAAAACAACAGCCATTTTATGTTTAAGCTTGTCAGTACAACACACAGGGTAGCTAATTTATCAAAGTTTAATGGAATTGAGACAACTGAATATTCCACTGCTTAATGAAATTATCTTATCAAACAGTTAACCAGAAATAAACATATCTTAACGCTTAACATTTTTCAACTATATTACAAATGCAGACATTGCAAGTGACATTGTGAGTTAGTGTTTTGAAGATTACAGTGAGTTTATGGACAAAGCGAAAATTGAATCTAAAATTTTCTGACTCAAACCTTTAGGCATCATACTAGCTTATAAAGCAAAATAAAAATCTGTAATGAATTTTAAAAAAACAGTTACTTGGTCTGGGCTGCAAGAAACCAGACAACCACCAGATGGCACCAGAAGGTTAGAATTTTCTGTCTCTCTGCTGCTGTCTGGATTTTTACAACCCAGATCTGGTAGCACCAGAAAAAAATACCTTTGACAACACTATTCTTCACTACTGTATCTAAATCATTATCAAGGGGACTCCTCAACATGGCTTACTGGCATTCTGTTCTTGTAGGGGATTTCATGGGTATTTCAGAATATTCCCTGGGTTTAATGGCTTATCATGCCCGTAAATCACAAAAAAAATAACCCAGATATATGCAAACATGATATGACAGCATTGAGATTTAGATACAAAACACTGTGGAAGAAACAGAGCCTAGAGAAGATATTACTGCCATTTTGCATGCCCCTGAATTATGGCTGGGACAAATTCATGACATTTCCACCACAAACCTGTAACCATCACCATACTTTTCACTGTTTTTCTCCCTCCTACGCCTTTGCTTCTCTCTTCTTGCCTCAATTCGACGTTTTTCTTCCTCTTCATTTTTTACTTCTGGCTTGACACCTAAAAACAATTAAGAGATAAATAAATACTTAAGTTCTAGACTCTAACCAGGGGAAAATTTGAACTTACCCTACTACCTTTCAGCATTATTTATGATCTCATAAGAAGGAATAATTCATGCCATGTGTGATGATGGCATCTATCAGGATGTTGCTGAATTAAAAGGAAAAAATGTAGTTTTTAACATTTTGTGATACGTGTATGATTAAGGGTCATGTTCATAGGAGTAATATTCAGAATTGAAGCCTAGCCTTATTATGCCAAGATAATAAAGGCCTTAAGTAAATGTTGAGAGTAACAATGGGAAATTGCCTCAATTGTTGGGCCTACAATTACTATAATTTCATGTTTATTGTTACATAAAGTTTGTTAAAACTAGATACTTCCTGGCTTTATTGTGAAGACAGCTTACAGAATATATGACAAGAAAACGCATGCAAGATTCCAAAAAAATAAAAAGGGGAACTTCTACTGTGAAATAGCCCTACACGGCATGAGACCAGGCTATTTGAGGGCCCACCAGTTCCCGATCACATCTACCAGTCCCATCAGGTCCAGCAGGAGGGGTATGCTGTGGGTCCTGTCTGCTAAAGAATTCCATCTGACAGGACCCAGATGACATGCCTTTTCTGTTGTGGCCCCCACGCTGTGGAACATCATCCCCCCCCGGGGTGAGGTTAGCCCCATCCTTGTTAGCCTTTTGGAAGGCCCTGAAGATGTTTTTTTTTTTTTAAGCAAACTTGGGGATCCCATGTAGAGCCCACGCATTGGTTGTATTATGTCTAGTGGGATATTTTTCTCCCTCAATCTTGCTTTTATTTTATGTATTTTCGAAGTGTTTTTATGGTTATGACATTGTTTTAATTGTTGGTTGTACGCTGCCCAGTCTCACATTGTGTGAGATGGGCGGCTATATAAATTTGTTGAAATAAATAAATAAATAAAACAGAAATACAAGAATAGGTATCCTGATTTTCCCTATACGAGTAGTGTATTTCAACATACATATAAAATGTTTTAACATTCCTTATTTTTCTAAACCTGTGATTGCATGCCAGAAAAAGTAACTTCAATTTTTTCTCTATTTAAGGGGCTGCCTTTTTATAGGGGAGGCAGGCTTTCAGTCCATATATCAAATGGGGAGTTATATGTCAATCTGGACATGATTTTCAAGCAGCCAAACAGCTGTTCCCTCCTTTACCTGTCACTTAGAAATAAAAGTCTGCCTTATTAAAAACAGGTATTAACAACAAGCTATCGATTTCCCAATTGCCAAACAGCATCTAATGTGGAAATAATAATTAAAGTATTATACAAATATTTTTGGAGGTAATTGTACAATTTCCATTACCTAGGGATGAGCAGAAAGAAGATATGGATCTAACAGCAGAGAAATTTCTGACTCCTATTTGTTGAACAAGAGACACATAGCTCTGTCAACTGTCATAAATTATACTGCTGAAATTAAGAAAGCTTAGAATGACCAATATTGATTTTTTTGTGGAAAAACTTTGAGTTTTGTTTCATTTGAATATTCAAAACAAAGGGCCCAGGGCCCAGAATTCTTTAGTACTGAGTATCCGCATCTTGCACCAGACTTTGGTTTACGAATCTTGGATTCTTTTTAAAAGACAAAGGAGATACGTAAGCCTGCCCACTCATATACTACAAGCTATAGGAGTAATGGCACTCTATTTTACAGAACAAACACTCCCTAGTATCGTACATACCCTAGCCCAGGCGCAGGGAACTGCTAACCTATAGGCCTCTGCGCCCCTAGAGCCTCTGAATCTTCTCTGTATATCCTCCCATAACACTATCAGGCTTATCAAAAACAAAAGCAAAAAACAAAGCAAGCTGCCATTCATGTTAATGGAATAATATTTTAAACCTAACAGTTGAGCAGGAAAAGTCTGAGTGGGGAAGAAAGAGCAGGAAAGGGAAGAGTGGAAAAGAGTGGAAAGGAAATGCATGATCCACCACTAGCTCTGCTCATCTCTAGTTTGCAGTCCAAGACTTTTTCTCCAGTGATCATGGATCTTGACATAAAAAAGACCAGGTTCTCCACGTCTGTTCTAGCCCCTACCACCCAGAAATATCCCCAATACCCTCCAAAATACTATACAGGGATAAACTTGCAATGTTGCATCTTACCTCTGAAGCCCAAAGGATATGCAAATGAGTCCTGTTTAATTTCTTTGTAAGTCATTTGCTTGAGTTCTGTAGAGAGACACTGCTACATCTTGCCTTTCAAGACCAGCAAACAACTTTAAATCCTAGCCTAGCACAGACCTGGAGAAGGGATGTCCAAGTCCATATATGAACCTGATACTTTTATTTGAAGAGTTGAATGGGAACACATAAACATTTGCTAAAGTACCATTGACTAACAGATCTACAGACATACTGCTACACTAAACAGACTTTAAATCTGAAGGTGGTGCATCTGGGGAAGAAATAAGTCCACTTGGCTTCATCATTAAGAGCAGTGCAAATTTTTAAAAGCACAAGGTAATTTAATAGAAAGCCTATTACACAGTATGAGATATGCCCACAATTTTTCGAGACAAGAAACTTCATGTAGCAAGTTCCCAGTACACTTCAAACCATACAGATTATATACAACAGCAAAGCACAACAGGGGAAAGAAGTTTAGAATAAAATTTCAGTTTCAGATGTTGAATTTTCTTGCTTGTGGGCTGGAAGATATGTTTTAGTAACTGAAGCATTTAGAAAAAGATAGTTTACCTGTTTTAATAAGCAGCATATATACACACAATCAATTTTTGGTGAAGAACAGCTGGTAGTTGGACTACTTTAAAATCAATACCTGATGAAAATATTCAGTAACTAAAAAGTAAGGATCATCAATACTAGAACACTCATTTTAAGTGATAGTGTTAACCCTAAAAGAAACAACAAGTCAAAGAGACGGTATACATTGTCTGGATATTGAAAAGAAAAGTGTATCACAAGCAAGAAATGATTTGTTTGACACAGTCACTGATCATTGCAACCTAAGACATTCAATTTGAAGGATGAACAACCCATTCAAATACTGCAGGAAATAGCACAATTAATCATGTGCAGCTTTTATTTAAAGGTATTTCACCAGGTGAAACTGTAAAGGCATTATATCTTGAGTTTTACCTGATAAAACAAGCAGGCTTACCTTCAAATGCCTGATAGATGCCATCACAGGCATCTTTTGTAAAGTCTTCATCCGTAATTGTGTCACATGGTTCAGCTTCATTATCCTAATGAAAGGTCAAATGCACAAGTTTCCAGAGTAAACAGAAGAGCTGACAAAATGTGCCATATTATTTCCAATAAAGGAAGTATTCATTTTAATCCAATTGGCTGAAGTGATCAGCTTGCAGAGGAGTTAATTTAAGGAAGTCAACTCCAGTTCATTATATGGAGTTAACTGTCAAGCAGTCACACATCAAAGAGTCATGTCTTATATAACAGACTATTTAAAGCTGTATTTATTATTCAATGTAAACAGTATTTGGGGTAATTGATTTATGTATGATCTGATAACATATTCTCATCAACTGAGTATGTCATATACAAGGACATTTGTATCTCGCTCTACTGTCAAGGCTAAACTTGAAGCAATTGTTTTCTTATGCAAAAACTGCTGCCCAACTTGAAATGAAAATGTCTTTTTGCATTATCTTACTGGATACTTACATGTTTTACTATATTCTGCTTTTTATTTGATCATTCTTCATGCTTTGAAATGTAACATTCAACTGTCTCATCTATCCCAACAGTATTTCAAGAAGTGTTTGCTCTCAAGAATAGCCCTCTGATTTTTTTGAAGAATTCAAACCAAAGTCCCATCATCAGCTGCAGAATCTTTTATGAGGTGACACTTATCTCATAATACCAGCATCTTCCCACAAAGCTTTTGGTAGAAAGCACACAAGCATTTTTGTTCTATCAGGCTTGAGTAGTGGTAAGAGGACATTACTATGGAATATCAGTTCGTTACAGCTGTTTTAATGTTTTAGCTGTGCACATTCTTTTATATATTATATTGTGTGAGGTGAAATTATTTAGATTTTGATATTACCCTGTGTATTGCCATTTTACCATTGGAAGACCTGAAAGACTGGGTTAGGGACAGATTGTCATGGTGAAAATCTATCTATGTGGTCATTAAGAGTCAACACTGACTGACTGCACATAATCAATCACCATTTTAAACTGTCAGCTGCCTAAAGATCTCAGAGTTCAAATGATTAACCATTTTTATAAATGAATCTACAGAGAAGTCAGAAATAGTTCAGAGATTCTGATGCAATTTTTTTAAAAAATGCAGCTTCATACCAACTAAATCATATTTCAAAATTCTAATGTGTCAAAGCAGCCAGGCACTTAAAATGTTTTCTAATCCTGATTTTGATTGAGAACCCAGATTAAAATAATGGTAAGTGAATGTTTTTATATAAATGAATGGTCATAATCTGGCCTAAATTGAAAACTGAACACTGCTTGCCCACCAATGATTTTGAATACCTCTGTTATCTTTCAGTGAAACTAACTGAATCTAGATTAATTGAGATTTTTTGTAAAACACTACTTCAAAGCTTTTAAAGTTCCTATTTTAGTTATGTTCAATAGAGTTAAACATTTCTTAGAAATCCAGATTTTAAAGTTATATGGTCTGCATCTGCCTACTTTTAAATTCAGTATTATCAGAATTGATTTTTTAAAAGTGTCTCTGGATTGCAACCACAGCTTCCAAAAGAAATTCTACATTCCAACAACATTTTTTCATGTGGTACCAGATGTTGTTTCAAAATTCTACCAGGAAAAGACTGAGAAAGCCCACTATGTAGACAGATATCTCTGTTCTTGAGAAAATGTTTTTGAGAAATTAAAGTAACTATTACTTTAATGAACTGTAATGCCTGATGCAAAGTACAATATTTTCCAAAACTAGATCTTTACCTCTGCAGTAGTTATCTTGCTTGGTGTCCTTGGGTCTATTAGCATGAAAGGAGGAAGAAATTCAAGAAAATCAAACTGCAATTAAATGTTTTGTCTCCCCTAGCAATTTGTTTAAATCCTTGGAGAACTGGGAAAATAGGAATCTTGGACACAGAAAATCAGAAGGAAACATTAAAGAAATGGGCATATAATAATAGCATCTTATATATATTAAAAAACAGGGAAAATACATAGAATTTGACTTAGCCGAGTTCTTTTTTCCAAACACTGAAATTATACCAAAACTGAAAATGCAGTAGACCATGTGGGATTATATCATCATACTGTGTAATTGGTTTTCCATTAATTTGTTATACATCTCTTAATTTCAATTCACAACTGTTGCTTATATCATATGCATGATTATTCTTCATAGTATTGTACCTAAGATCGGTATAATTTTCTATACTTATTCTCAATCCAGGAATAAAATAACATATCTGAACAATTAAAGACATTTCAACAGACAACCAACTTGAAAGCAAGAAGTTAGGAACTTGTAAACAACATTTTAGATTAATTTGATTAATTTAGAAAATAAGAACGCTTAGTAGTAAAAGCCATTAAAATCAATATATTCAAATTTAGACTGGTTTTAAATCTCAAATAAAAGTATGGTAGCTAGTTTTTAACGGTATGTAGTAAATACAAGTTCAATAGGGAGAATGTATTGTTAAATCATTACTTGTTATAATAGAGATGTAGCTGTAAGATATATGTATGTTTTGTTTTTATATTCAAGGAAGGGGGGTCAACTCTTAACAACATAGTAAAAGGAAAAGAGAGGAAGAGAAAACACATTGGAAGGCAAAATATTGAGGGGGGGGGGAAGGAGAGAGAGAAGGAAACACTGACTCTTGTAAATGATAATCTTTTAACCTAGCCAAGTATGTGATAAATGTTTCAGTCATGTATTTGATACTTGTGTAAATGTTTATTATACTGGCTACCTATATATAGAAGAAACTATTCCTAATATATTCCACAAACAGAAAGCATAAGCATTTTAGCTTATTACAGCAGTCATTCTCCCACATCTACTATGATGTTTATTTTCAGAAGTAGCATCCATTCAACGAGCATACAGGGGACAGGCAGAAGAAATTAAGCATTATCTTGAAATATTTTGGCAAAAGCAGCACTGATGGCTACCCAGCTTCCATCATACAGGTAGTCCTTGCTTAATGACTGCCCAGTTTAGCAACCATTCAAAGTTACGATGGCACTGAAGAAGTAACATTATGACCGGTCCTTGCACCTGCAACCATCGCAGGCTCCTCGCGGTCACATGATTGAGATTCGGGCACTTCACAACTGGCGGGCATTTATGGCCATTGCAGTGGTCCATGGCCACACAATCACCACCTGCCCACTTCACTGCTGGCTTCCGACAACCAGAATCAATGAAGAAGCCGGCAGTAAAATCACAAGTCACAGTCATGTGATGTCTCACTTAACGACTGCAGATGATTCACTTAACATCATGACAGAAGTGAGGTTGTAAGCCTGGCGCAGTCACATGATATCTCAATTAACAACCATGTTGCTTAGCAACAAAGTTGCTGGTCCCAATTGTGGTCATTAAGTGAGGACTACCTGTATTGGGATTTATTGGGAAGCAGTATGTAACCTTTTATGACCATTCCCCCCATCTCTCATTGGATTACAATTCGTTCTATCCTCTTATTTAGCCTATTCACTGACATGATATATATTTTATCAATAGAAAAGCATTATGGAACGCTCACATGCCAACTTCTGTTCTCTCAAACCTCATCATTCAATCACAACTTTTTGGCCCATCCAAACAACGTAATTGTTTAAAGAATAAAAACCCATGCAAAAAAGCCATTCACTGGCATGTCACTCAAGTCACCCTTAAAAGTATACATTTCTGAATGAATGTCAATAATGATGTTCTTATGCAAAGAATATGTTAAGTTTGGGGGGGAAGGGGGAAGTGTTTTTTTGTTTTTGATTGCTTTGAAAAGCACTGAAGTCTACATCAAAGTAAGCCAAGCACTAGTCCCACCAAAAAATATTTTATAGAAGGAATTGGCTAATGACAAACATTTGCTTTCTACCATAACTGATCTAAATCTGAGTATCAGATTTCCTTAAGCATACATATACAAAGAACTGAATTAGAATCAACTATTATTCTGTTGATAACAGTCCTATAGCATCTCATGTAGCAAGCAGTCTTCACAATAAAAGAAGCCAGAATAAATATATCTATATGTATCAAAAGATTAAATTTCCTTCGAAGTGTTTAATCAAGAGCATAGGCACAAAGCTAATGAAGTATCTTGTAAATATCTTAATAAAAATTGTAATTTGTGCCACTAAGGTCAATCCCTATGAACAGCTGGTAACAGCAGGGGCTTTGAGGCTGGAAAATGAGGAACAGCAATGCATTATAAATGTATCCTCTCAGAAAATGTTAAATAGAGCTGTAATTCACATCTTTCGTTCAATTACTTACTAGGTTTGTTTTGGTTCATCTTCACAATAGGTTTTGTCAGTTTGGGTTTCTTGATAAATGTCCCACCTGGTTTATTATACGGCTGCTGTATCATTTTTCTCTTTATTCCTCGTGCAGCTACTGCTGCAGAACTGGGTTTGTTATGATAGTCTACCACAATTCCAGGTCTATGCATGCCTCCAAAGTCTCCCATATACTGTAAATAGGTGAAGACCAAGTATTAGGAAATGATGTGGCTGACTGTAAACAATCTAGCTTATATAACAACATGTTTAAAAATATTTTAACTCAAGAAAAAGAATGCAATACTAGTAAGTTAACACACATCAGAATTGCAAACTGATTAGTTTTTAAAATATCTGACCTCAAAGTGTCAAATGGATTTCTGCTTATTCAAAATCATTAGTCCAGACTATGAGCCTTGTTAGAATTTTACCTATGTTCACTCCCTTAGGATTCTCCAAATAATGCCTCAGACAAATAAACAAAAGAAAAAATATTTCTACAAAGCTGCAATATGAGAGTGTAAATGTAAAGCTTAGGAAAAAAACAGAAATGAGTCATAAAAATCTCTGCCTGAAACTTTCATCGTTTCTCTTTTACTATGATTAAAAATGTTTCGAAATAACCTTCTGATGGTTCAAAATGTGTTCTTTGAATATCCACATAAGGTATTTTTTGTGTATACTGTTGAGTATGTTTAAAATTTGTTAATATCCAAATAAGCTTTTATCCCTTAATATTGTGATGCTATTTCAGTTTAATTTATAAAACTTCTTGCTTACTATAAAATACATATGTTTTATTTTCAAAGTTTATTTTTCCTACTTCCCTTTTTCTCAAAACATGTATATCCACAATAGAGAGTACAATCCTAAGCATGTCAGCTCAGAAATAAGTGCTAGTAAGTTCAAACTATACATGGAATAAAATAAGTCTCACTGAACTCATTGGAGTTTCTTCTGAAAATACATGGATAGGATGAAGTAATTTATTGTTTTGAGGCAACACATCTCATACATCCCTACTTTCACTTAAAACAGCAATTTCCAAATAAATACACATAGAATTCTTTATGTGAGCCATCTCAGCAGGGATTTTAAGACTACTATGTAAGTAGTATAAATATGTGACATAGTTCTGTATTAAAGCACTTAATTTAAACTAGATAAAAAGTTACCTTCCGTAAAATGTTTTTCCTGTTCCCCTCATATAACAAACAAACCTAATGTATTGCATTAACCATATTAAAAATTATTAGAAACCTTACATCATTACCAACAGTTCAGCACAAATCAATAGTTTCAGAAGTTTTGACCAGTGTTGAGATAATGGTTGCATAGCGAATGTAATCTCAAACAAAAAAATCCATAATTATATCAGAAGGAGCAGTGAGCAAAGTAAAATATTAGCCCTTCTTAGATCAAATTCTTTCAAAAGGAAAAAAAAATTAACATAGAATATCAACGAACTGATGGAAAATCTCTAATCCTAACTTGGACATCTACCATATAATGAAGAGAGCCTATATGCTTGGCTTCATCAATTTTAAGGCATTGAATGGAGAAACAAACTGAAGAGAAGGAACTAGTATAATACAAAAATGCAGACATGCTGTTCTACTTATACATTTAGGCTGCAATCCCAGAATACTTATTTGGGAGTAAGTCCAACAAAAATTAGTAGCACTTACTTCTGAGTAAACACACACAGGTTTCTACTGTTGGCTGACAGTAATATATAAGAAAGGCTCATCTGACTGAATGAGTGAAGTCATATAAGCAGAAATGGGTAAACTGCCATAAATCTTTAATAGTAAAAGTTAGACACAATAAAGGCAGTACAATAATATAATATTTCTTTACTTTGATTAACATTTAATCCTAGCAGGCCACAATGTGTTAAGAGATCATTATACTAAAAAAATCCATGCATATGTTCTATATTTCGTTTTGTATACAAATTGGGCTCTAGTAAATAACAGTCTAGCAATATTTTCACGCTGCATATTACATACATCAAAGGACACTTTCTAGGTGATGTACATTTGCACGAGCAAATATTTTCAGAATCTATTAAAGGTGCAATGCATTTCACATAAGTAAGCAGCTTATTTCTCAAAATAGTTCTCAAGAGAGTAACACTAAGCTCAAAAAAAAGAAAGAAAGAAAGAAAGAAAGACACTAATCAACACTGTCTAGTTAACTAACTTAATTTCACAAATCTGCCAGACTAAATAAATCAACTTAGTCCTTTATCAACAAATTATAAAAAGATTCCCAGCTGTATTGGGTTCCTAGGCCTATGGATTAAATGCCAATTGTACCCTTTAGAGTATTACATGGATAAACCAATTAAAAAAAATAATAGGCATGCAGAAAACTTAATAAAAATATTCCAGTCTACATTTAATATTGCAATCTACATTAACCTTATTATTTTCTTAAGGCCAGCTTCTTGAAACTCAGTACTTAAGAGTTTTAAGAGAGCATCTACTGATGGTCAACTGAAATGGAACTCTTTGTATAAATTCAGATATGAAATTATAAAGTAAGTTAATGGGACATCATCTTATAACCTGAAGCTTTCTAAGTTTAGATTCTGATAATGGTTTGGTATGGTACAGTAATATTTGATCTTTGTTCATAATCTTTAAATTGCTCTTTTGAACTTGCCCTAAAACATTAGATCAGCATGTAAGAGTATGTAGTACTGAATTATGACACAATTGTTGACTAAAATGGCTGAGTACATTGTTACCTTTCTTTCAGCATGATCAATTCTGATGATATCCCTTTAACAATGATTTGAAATTATCCTATTTTTTATTGCCTGCCTGTATTAAATCTTCCCTTCTATGTAAGTCTAAATGACCTTAAATTAAACTAAAATTGAGTATGAAGAACTAATTGCTTCCTGCCTTGACAAAATCTGTTCTATGGCATTTATCTTCTAAAATCAATAATATACATACATTGCACCTTTAACCTACTCAAAATGGAAAAAGGTTCTAATTAACCTTTACAAAGTTTCAAGACTTCTCCCACTAGCCAAGATGCTAGTGTTAACAAGGAAAAATGCAATTCCTTTTAACCCCTTTTAGACCAAACCCATTGCCTTAATATTCACCTTTTTTACAAAATGAGAGATTTGATAAAACCTTAGCAACTAATCTCTTAGTGCTTTTACTTGTGTAAATGAAGAGAGAGACAGGGTACTAAGTTCTGGGTAAACACCAAACCGGATTGGAAGGTTATCAACCCTAACAGTTTGGCAAAAAGTGCACTGTGATATACAGTGCTTTTGTTTTAATGCTATGGTCTTGAAAGGGTTTAAAAGAGTGACTAGCGAAAAGAATCTGAAAAGATTCTGTACTTACTCCTCGGCCACGGCCTCTGCCTGTTGATGGTCCTCCAAAAGCATCATAGTTTCTGCTTCCAAATCCACTGTCAGGATAAGCAGGCGTTCCTCTCCCCCGAGAGCCTACAGGTGCAGGCTTCATATGGGGTGAAGAAAAACTGCTGTAGGAAGAGTAAGTCTCTCTTCCTCTGTCCTCCATAAACCCAGGCCTCAATTTTGAGCGTGAGTAAGGTGCTTCCCAGCTAGACCCGCCCTGGTTTCTACCTCCGAAAGAGTCAAGGCTATTCCGGTAGTTGCTGTCAAATCGACCACCATAACTACCTCCGAAGCGGCTTTGTTCGGGTTCATTATAACCATAGCCAGATCTGTACAGATCTCGCCCACCCAGAGAAGACCCGGAGTCATAAGACTCATAAGGTCCAAACCTGGAAAAGTTGCAGTGAGGAAAAAAAAAGTAAGCTTACTAAAGTTAAACATTTCAAAAGACAAGTTATCAGTTGACATTTATCAACTAAAATCATTGTATATTTTACTTTGGTAGGGTTTGCTTTGATTAGGGCTGGGCATTTCCATGCTGTGATCAGACAGAAAGCTATCTGAGTCACTTTTCAGTAAAAAAATAGTATTAAAATTCAGAATGCCTGAATTTCACTAAATTTAGTTTCTCAAAATTATTATTTAACCTCATTATTGTGCCCAGACCTAGTCTAACGAATGCAGGCACCTGCATAGTTTTAAAGGTTCATAAAATTCTTGTTTAAAGTCATGCCTAAAACAGTTCAATAGCATTTGAAAGATTTTGCTCTCAACTTAGAAGTTGCGACAGTATCAATAATGCAACTATTTTAACTTGATATTTCAATGGAAACTGTTCATTGTTCTGTTATATCTTACAGAAGAAATCTAAATAATCTTCCTTAACTAACTACTAGCATGCCTCATCTTCTACTATTACATTTAGCATGTATCAAAGAGGAGAGGGAAACCTGTGGCCCTTCAGATGTTGTTGGACTATACTTTTCATGAGCCCCAACATCAAATGGTAAGAAATGCTAAGGCTTTGGAAACATTTGGAAGGTCACAGATTCCCTGCCTCTGTTTGTAGGGAATAAGGCAAACACCTTTTTATAGAAGAGAAAAGTCAAAATAAATCTTAAATATTAATGAACCTTTGGCACAGAGAAAGGCTGTACAATACATGTAAATGCCATATTACCAAAAAGCTGTATGTAACATTTTTAAAAGATATTAACTGATGAACAGAGAAAAAAAAGTGTGCAGGGTAATGTCAATGTCATATACTGCACGGAAATGGGAACTCATTTTCATCCCAAAGAATAAACTATATTTTAATTCTTAATTTAAATAACTTGAAGAAAAAAACTTCTATTAATTAAAAATCGCAATATGAGAAGACTAAATTTATCTTGTCTACAGTTCATATTTTAAAAACCTGATTCATACAAGACTTTCATATTTAAAATGCCAGCTACAGAACAGTATATTACAACAACAAAGATTTTTATATAATATGGTCAATAAACTCCAACCATATTCAGATTACTAGATGGTAGGTACATTTTTCCTGATTCTCAAAGCAGTTTGCACCAGCATTAGTTGTATTAATTGTTGAAAAGCACTGTGCATTTATACAGCTAATTTCCCGATTCCTTAACAATCAATGTCACAAGAAACTGGAGGATTCAAAATTGTCAATCCATGTTCTTCTTACTGCCATTGAAGAATTAGGATATGCAAATGAGACCACAACCAGGTTTAATATTTCATACAGTTATTTTGTTTAAAATGCAGAGTTCTTATAAGAAAGCCAATTTAGAATAAAAATTATGACCTGACGTTAGTAGACATCAACTGCAGGCACAGTGCAAAATCAAACCTTGTCAGAAATACTACTACAGTGCTAAGAACAATTATAAAACACTGCAAAAAAAAGTGTGTTTTAGTGTAATTAGTACCTGCCAATAAAATAATCTGGACATGAAAAGCTGTCTACTAATGAATATTCTTGCAAAACATATTACTATTCAAATTAAATTTAAGTGTTCCTTTCAAAGAGAATGGTGAAACAAGAGCAGCAATTTTGATCCAAATTAAGAGTATTTCAACTCTAGTTTCTGTACTAATACTTAATTGCTAGGTTTTTAAGACCACTAGTTGAAACAGATTTCAAGAGAGATCTGAGATAAAACCTGCATTACAGCACTCTATTTCATTAAAAAAACACTTATTTTAAAATATGCTACACATTACATCTCTGAGTAATAATGTACAATGCCCTGCAATATGTTCAAGGAACACTTAAATTGGATAAAGGTATACTGCAGAATATACTGATATTATGTCTGTTACACAAAGCAAATGATTCAGTATTTTACCTGGCACCACCACCTCCTCCTCCTCCACCGCCGCCTCCATGGCTTTCCATTCCATATGACTGATTCATATAAGAGTCCATAGCTCTTGGGCCACTGTAGGCACCATGCCCATAGTCACGGTCCATTTCTTAAAAAAAGAAGATTGAAATTATTGAACTGTTGCAGATTAGTAAGTCAACAGTATTTCAGCCCCCCAAAAAGCATAGATGTAATGTATAATATATATAATAGGCAGGATAGCATCATAGAGCAACACCACACAAATTCAATCACACAAAAAAAATTCTCTGCCCCCTGCTTTCTGGTTCAGCTAAGGGGGTTGATTTGCAGAAAAGCAGTTAGAAGCGATGGGACAATCAAGCCACATTTATTTGTTTCAAAAAACAATAAAGATCTAAGAGAAGGGCCACAGGCTGACCAAGGTTTTGTGCCAAAAATAATAAAATTCTGCTTCTTCCAAGAGTATTTTAATGTGGTTCAACAGTAAACAAAATAATATTATGCATGCTGCACTACATTTTCCCTCAATAAAAAATTCACCTCATAATTTTAGCTATTAAGAATATAGGGTTTAAAATTATATACAGTTCACTTTTTTTAACTGAGTCCATTAAATGCAAGTCAACTAAACATGCTAAACTTCAAAATTTTCTGAGAAATTTTAAAATTCAAATTCTAGAAAACCTACATCAGTGACTTAAAGGACACATGGAATGGCAAGGAATTTGCACAAAGAACAAAATGTTGCAAATACTAAACTTAAGTTCAGCTACAGGCAAGTGTGATATTAAGAGAGGAAAAAGTAAATAATGTGAGATCATACATGAGGCGCACCTAAGAAAATATCTGGGAAAAGATAATGGCAGTGGAGTATTTCCTTTTATGTAATTTCTTAATCAACACAAAGGTCTTCAACAGGGGTCTCAAACCTGCTGCCTGCAATAGTCCCCAAATGGCATCCACAGAATACCAAAATGAACGTAAGCATTTTTAAAAATTAAATGTGTGAAGTCTCACCAGCTTACCAAATCTCACAAGATTTCAGCCATTTCTTAAACAAAAAGTTGGTATCCACATTACTCATAAAATTATGTGAACTCCAAATGTTCTTTACAACAATCTTGTAAATTAAGCTGAGCTAAACAGTAATCAAATGAAGGTCAAACATGGAGCTCCATAATTATCTGGGACATAAACTTGCACCTCACTGGTTTCTGCCCAGTTACACCAGAGTTTGACCAATGAATATGTTTGCATAGCCAATGCTCATTGCACTCATTTTAAAATAGCATTTACAGTGCTTTCTCAAAATTCCACTTATATCTGCCAGACCCCAGTTTCCCAATCAGGGTTCCATGGAACAGTTCTGTGAGAGGTCACTAGGGGATTTATTTATTTATTTATTTAATTAATTAATTAATATGCCGCCATCTCCCCCAGAGGGTGACTCTGGGCAGCTCACAATTAAAATCCAAAACAATAAAAATATAAATATCCATATTAAAATAACTAATAACAATTCTATATGAAAAGCCTATATACAATTCAAGATGATGGAGGGAGCAGTATCAATCATCCCATCAACCAATTCCAACAATACAAGCCCCCATCAGGCCCCCAGGCCATCTGGAATAGCCATATTTTCAAACTTTTTCAAAAAGCCAGGAGAGTGGGGGCAGCCCACACCTCAGGTAATAAGCTGTTCCACAGGGTGGGGGCCATGACAGAAAAAGCCCTCTTCCTAGACCATACCAGCTGAAATTTCTTGACTGGTGGGGTCTGAAACATGCCCCTTCTGCCGGACCGAGTGGGGTGGGTGGATATTATGGGGGCAAGGCAGCTCCTCAGATAACCTGGTCCTGGGCCATGAAGAGCTTTAAAGGTAATAATCAACACTTTGAATTGGACCCTGAAGCAAACCAGCAACCAATGCAGCTTGTATAACAGACGTGTTATATGTGCCACTCTAGGGGCATTAAAACTGTCCGCACTGCTGCATTTTGCGCCGGCTGTAGCTTCCGAGTACTCTTCAAGCGTAGAATTATTTCAAATTTGGGCAATGCGCTCTCGTAATAATTAGCAGAGACTGAACAAAAATCTAGTTACAACTCTGAGTTCTCTGGTAGTGGACTGTAGGACTATATTTATTTGGTTGAATCCATTCTTAATTTTTGATGTGAGATAGGGGAGACCGTTGATAACAGGTGAATGCTATATTGCAGGAAGGGCGGAATATACTGAAGGAAGGCAAGGGAGAAGTGCATTTTTCAAGAAATTAGTGGACTTGTCCAACTTAGACTGTGACTTCAGTCTCCCCCTCCTGCATCTTTTCCCTGCAGTTTTCCTGTAGTTATTTTATCCCATTATTTTAAATAAATTTCATACACATTTATTCAGTCATGTCTGAAGGTTCGATGTGGCAATTTTTGAAGAGGAGGTGTGAGAGAAGAGGATTCTAGAACAGACAGTACCAGTAAGTTTAATGATGATAATGAAGAATTTAAATCTTCTCAGGCATTTCCCTGCACTGCTATATCAACGGACTCAAAAAAAACCCCATCTTCACAATGAAAGCTATTTATCAATGGGTTTTACATGGACTGGTTATCCAAGTTGTCCTATTCCGTTGTGCCTCATCTGTGGCAAACAACTTAAAAATGCAGCAATGGATCCAGTAAAATTAAAAAGATGCTTAACTACAAATCACAGCCACATGACAAGTAAAAGTTCTGATTATTTTAAACAGCTACTG